GGGATCACCACTTTAGGTGATCTAATAGGGCCGATCAAAACGATTACCGAAGGAAACGAAACGTATATTACTCAGAGAAGATATGACAGTGACGTTCTGTTTTTTCCCGTCACTTTTTGTGAATCTGTAGATTTAAGTCTGCAGCAGTCACAAAGTGAGGAGGGCGATAGTCACTACATCGTGTATCACTGCCGAACGACTTAATCTCGTTCATCTTAATTCTTCATCGTTTAGTCCAATCATTAATTTGGTTAATTGATATTTGTAGATTTCTTACAGCTTCTTCATGATCTTTGCACACAGGTAATATGGCAATATCGTCAGAAAGGTAGCTATCATTTCATGCACCAAGTATATAGTAGATATAAGACCAATAATATAAGGCCAAGCAAACTGCCCTGTTGTACTCCCATCCTAATTTCTTTTAATTCCCAATAAGCTTCCTCTTGCTTTACTTTAAAAACTCTATCTGTGATGTATGACTTCAATAATTGCACATATGTCTTGGGCAGAAGTTTACTTAGTTTATACCTAAGTCTCTCATGCTTTATCAAAAGCTTGCACTACATCAAGGAAGATGGTGGCACAAACTTTCTATGGAGTTGGTCTATAGACAAGTGGCTTTCTCTAAAACCGAACTGATGCATTGGATTTAATTTTTTTTCTTCTATAATGGGTTTCAGCCTAATTTTTCGAAGAGTTTCGAAATAATTGAAAGTAAAGAGGTCAGTATGTAGGAAGTAACTTTATTTGGTGGTTTACCAGATTTAGGAATCATTATCATTTCAGCAATCTTCCATAACATGGGTACATACTTAAGTCTAAATGAGGCATTGACAAGATAAGTCAATTTAACCACTGTTTTCCTGGGAAGTTTTAAAATTTTCCCTTTAATTAAATCAAACCCAAAAACTTTGGGTTGATGTTTTTCCTTATTTCATTAATAATTTCTATTGGTGTCGCAAGTCTTATTTCGCCTTCTTCTTGAATTATATCTTCCCAATCAAGTTAATTGCTTCACGTTGTCAATAATATCACTGTTATATTTTCTGTGGTAATTTACAGCCGATTTAATTCCCACTCGTAACTTCAAAATTCTATCACTCAAAACTTTTTTTAGTCCTCGACTTACTATTTTGTTTTTTGAACTGTATTTTTTTTTCTAGCAAGATCACGCAAATTTGTGCAATAATTCCTGAGAAGATGGTTTATGCATTCTACTTTACGGACCATTGTTCTTCCGTAGGGTCTCTCTAAGCAAACTTTTTGGTAAACACTGCTGTCTCCATCGCCAATAATTTTTACATATTTTTATTTGTGCATTTTTATACTATTACGGAATCCTTCTAAAATTAGTTCCGATTCCATAGAAGTCGACGAACCACCCCAATTTTTTGAACATTTATAAGTTGTAGCTTTTATGTTTTTAGATAAAGCTTGAGCACAGATAGGACAATACTTACTTTTAAAAGAAACATACAAAAATTTTCCAGTTTTCGCCCCAATAATGCAAGCCTGTAAAAAATAAGTGCATTCAAAAATAAACCCTCTATATGTTATGTCAAATATGAAAATGTTTCTAAAGCAGACCATGGAAAAATCACGCATTACGGATACTTTACAATTCTGTCGGTCATGGCTCACTTTAGAAACATTGTTTTTGGATCACACGTTATAATATTAAAATATAAACTTACAACTCCAGATAAAGTGTTATAATTCACTTTATATAACCGCTTAGAGCTTAGACCATGCACCGTCAACAATCACTGCAATTAGACCATTTCCTTGTTCATCTACTTCTCCAATCTTTTGCTAATTGCAATTCTTCCAGTCCTGCTTGTTCCATGGCCTCCCAAGCTGCTTCAAAAATACTTTTACTTACCAACTCATTATGAGCTGAGTATTGTCGAAAAGACATTTGTGGTATATTTATTATGGCATAATGCCCGACCATTTGTGTATGCCCACAACCAGTTTATAGAGTAGCCAATACTGCAGCTGAGTTTAAATTTATTTCAGTAGTCAGTTTTTGATTTTCAATGTTCTAATCTGTACTGAGATTACACATTTTGTATTGAAGTCTAAAGCAATTTATTAGACCAATTCTGTGCTCTCCTATAAATTACATATCGCCAAAGCCACAATCGAATGGCTCATGTTTATTTAGAGAAATATAGGATTGAATAAAATAGGGAATGTTTACAATTCTTCTACCGATATTATTTGCGTCAAAAGATGTCGATGGTTTGTTTTCTTTTTGAAACTCAACACATATCTCAGCTGCTTCTACTTGTCCAGGTTAAGAAATAAGCAACCTAAAATATTTACTAATTCAGTAAAATATCGAAAAGAGCTATGATACACTTACTGTTTATTATTTTGTCGAACAGGCATCTTTGTCCGAGCATATTTTAATTTATTGCATGGAAGATTCCTGTAAATAAAATATTATAATAATAAACAAGATTAATTATTACAAGAACAAACAATTATTTAATTGGCAGCAAATATATTTAGAAATACTGTTTGCGTTATTATTGTTTTGGCCTTTACTATATGAAAATCCATTGCTCTGAGAAAAACCAAAATTTGGTAGATTTTCACATAAATAATTTGATTAAGATCAACATTACATATGTTTCGAATTACGAATTATTCGTCAGGTGTGTCTAATTTCCTCTATTTACAAAAAATAACAAGGGCTACAGTAATTTAATAGATAATGCGTATAAATTGTAATAATTACTTTTTTACCATTATGTACTGGGATTAACTCACAGGATACTAAGAATCAAATCCACCTTTACCTACTTAATCTTAGTCTTAGTACTAATTCTATAGTCTCGGTAATTATAAAACCTTTATTATTACACCAATTTAAAACCAATAATCATTTAAATAATTTAACCCTTATTGTTTATAAACACCCTAATTTAAAATGATATACAGTTGAAGAAGTTGATTCATCTTACCAGTGGCGTGCGGTGACATTTTTGGACGCGATTGTATAAAAATACAGCAGGCCAGTAAGCACAGCGCCGCAGACGAAAAATTTTTGCGGCGCATTCACCATTTTGTCAAAATCTTACTTTTTTTTTCCTCAGTACTACGGATATTCGAGATTGAGATTTTTGAAGTGTTACTGTTACTTTATTACCTAGTTCAGTACTAGAAGCTATAAAAAAACTTACCATTGGTTTATTTAAACGTAAAAAAAACATTTAACTGAAGTCTTTTTATTTTTTCCAGCATTTTTCGCACAGTTGACACAGCAGTTGACATTTATTTATACTTAAGATCTATTCGCCTATCCTCAATGGCTGCAAATTTGTCTATAACATCATCGTAAAATTTTGGATTTTCTGATAACTGTTTAACAATCTGTTTTACAATGGATATTAAGGCTAAATTACAGAGTCTGTCTTCACTTGATGAATTTCCAATCCGCTCTAATGCGAACTTTTAATGCGCTTTAAAGCTGAAAAACTTCGCTCAACTGGCGCACTTATGGCTGGGATGGTTAGTACTAATTCACACAACTTGACGACTTCACAAAGGGACTTATTTAAACCAGTTGTTATAAGAAAATTTAACACATTGATGGGCGTCTTTTTATCACTAATTTCAGTTGTTTCATAAACAACACTTAACTGGGATTTTATTGCTGGAATATCGAAAAAAAATTGTAAGATGTTTTCTTGCCTCTAAGAAAATTTAACCCTTACAAGTGACACCCTAGGACTCGGAAGTACTCAAGCGCCAGTTTTATTAATGTGGTTTGCTCCACAATACAGGTAGCTTCTAGTGGAGATGACGGAAAAACTCCAGGGGTCTCCTTGATGTATGACTATACACATAAGAGGGTAAAAATAACGGGCTTTAATCGTTATTGTTACGTTTACATAATTGTCGAAGCTGAAAGAGAAAAGGAAAAGGTCGACACAATTATAAGCCAAATTTTTAAAAATTAATACATCTATTGCTTACGAAAGCTATTAACAATAATGAAACTTAAAATAAAAATATTTCAAAGCCCACCCCTTTATCAGTCGGTATAACTCTGAACAAAAAAAATAACAAAAACAAGCGGTTACGGACGATAGCTTGACAGGTCGGAGCTCAATCAGACGTGATTAGATAAATATACAGATAAAAGTAAATGACACGGAGTTCTGGATTAAGTCGGGTTACGGTAGCATTTAGTTATGAACAGGGAATATAAACGGAAGTAGAATTCAATATTAACAATTATGAATTAGAAGAAAAATAAAATTAATCGGTACCAGGTAACTAGTTTAGCTCCCCATCTAATATTCCACCCTTTTGGAGTTAAAAAGAAAATGCAGCCACGGATAATATCTAATTACTAGCAGTGTGACGACACAATCACGCATACAAAACACTAGCTAGGTATCAGATACTATTTTAGTGCAGTGCATAGTGGCGCATTCGTTTGCAAAATTGTTTTAATTCGTAATTTTTTTTTTTTAAATGTCCGGAAGGCTTTCCTGATTATAAAAGTGTAAGATGACACTCGATATTTGTTGATGTTATTGTTTAAACAACGAAAAATTAATTAAGCCAGAAAAAATGCATTTTTGCAATGAATTAATTTTTTTATATTCTTTAGGATATTTCGAATAAAAAAGTCCTTCGCCCATCATCGTATCTTTAACCCTTTAATTGTTATGAATTTTTTAAAATCCGACATTGACGAAAATTCTAATTGCTATAATTTTAAATTTTTTACCGAATATTCAAAATTTTGTTTGTTATGTTTTTTTTTACGTTATAACAATATGCTTCCTACGCGCCACGATGCCACGAAAAAGATTGTTCACTAGTATTTTGTAACAAAAAATTGCTTTCGAATAGTTTTGCGCCGATTCCTCCTAAACTAGTAGAATCTAATATTAAAAACGCGAGATCCAAAAAAATTCAAACTTTTGGCATTGAACTTGAACATTCATTTCCATACGCATGTTACAAGGGTTTACCTACTGTGTATCATCCTTGAGTACGTAACGCCGCTGGCTCTCACAGCCAAGGCCAGCTGATAGTTTTCTGTGCCAACATTTGAAACGCTCGTGATGATTCAAATGGAGGACTGATCGATTGGTGAGAATCCAACGGAATTCTCTTTCTCGCGTTTCTCGTTCAAACGGAAGGAAGGCAACGCAACGGCATGTTTCGTCGGTAACACATGGGGAATACGAGGTACAAAAGATACAAGGTGTTTTATTTGAATGTTGCCCCGTTTTCGCGTCAATTTTACTTTACTAAATACCGTGTGGTGGGTAGAGTTTCTATAGGGGAAAAAATCGATGTTGAAAATTAAGTTGGGGAACAAGTGAGACAGTGGTGTGTGCGAGTGAATTTTTTTACAGTTTTCTGATATTTTTTATAAGTCGGTAAGTGTATACCTAGAAGGTAATTTAATTTTCAATAAGAAGTAAAGATTAACCGTAGTCATAGAGTACTTATCTACCTATCCCCTAGAAACTTGGCGCGACTTTCTTATATGAAAAATTTGCAAAAATACTGGCTTTATTCTACAGGGTGGTCCAGTTTATATCGTCAGGATTTTATCAGCCGATAAAACATGGTCCCAATGTGTTTCCTTTTTGATGTACAGGGTGTTGGGTGTTAAAGTTTTATTAATATAGGTTTTGATCGATTTTAAAGAAATTTTCAGTTTATTGAAAACGAGGTGTCTTTCGAACGTGTTACAGTTGATCCAGTAATTCCTGGGGCCTACTCATAGGGCATTTCGTTTAGTTTTCGGCACAAAAAATATCGCCTGGCATATTTTTGAATTTTTCAGTAATTTTTTAAATAAACTAAATAAAAATACAACTATTGGTAAATATCTAGTTTGAGCTCTTTTCGATTACGGAAAAACTAAGCACAATACATGTTTGTAGGTAGGTATTGTTATTGTAAACAAAACTAAGTTCCATATCTTGTGCAAATGAATAAAGACACAAATAATTTTTTTAAATAAAAATATATGCCATTTTTTCATTTAATATTAACAATTTTACGGTAAAGGAAGTAAATAGGGGTGCTGAAAACAACGACAATAGTCATAATATTATAAAATATTGTTAGTTCAAAGAAAATTATTAGAAATGATTTGCTGTACTTTTGATAATAAATAAGTGGATAGTAAACTGTTTGTGTGACTTTTTGTAAGATGTATAAGTAGCATTGCTGAGCTGTGAAATACTTTTATTTAAAAAAATTGTCTCGTTATTATTAATTTGCACAAAATATGGAAATAAGAGTTTTGGTTTACAATAAAAGTACGTAGGTATGCTTAGTTTTTTCATAAGCGAAAAAAACTCAAACTAGATAATTACCCAACTATTTTTTCTCTTAATTTTTTTTCGATTCTTACTTTATTTTCAAGTTAAAAATTAAAACTAACAATTTTTCACGTCTCTAAATACCTGAACCCTGTACATCAAAAAGGAAGCATAGTTTCTTGGACGAAGTACCCTTATTTTTCGATAAACTACCTATACAGCACACATTATTTCAGAAGTGTTTCAGAAATATTTCAAACGTTTCAAACATAACATTTCAAGCACAAGTTTCTGAAATATTTTAGTTTTAAAATTAACTGAAACATGGTATAATGAAGAATTTCTGATTTGTAAGAAGGTATGTAGTTATTTTATTTCATCCTATGTCCAGCCAGAAACAACCATAGATATAAAACCAAGATAGATATGATTATTTACAAAATTTCTGAAGCCAACGCGCAAGATCCTCGGCAGAAATGCAATATTTGGATAAAACATTGATACCAAGTTTGCGATGTTTTTAACTGTAGTAATGTAATTACGTTTGCTGGTAATACTGTTAAGTCTTATCAAAAAAAAATTACATCTGACAACAGCGTAACTAGGTTCGACCGTTATTGTAGTATTTGCAAGTAGGGTCGTAGATTTGTTTCATTCATAAAATTCTTTCGATACAGTACTAGTCCAGGAGCCAATTTTTTTCATACTTATTTTCCCAGTCGGTGTGTATTTAAATAATCTTTTCCCAGTGAACTGTATAAATATTTAAAATGGAACGCCAGGTGAGATTGCGCACAAAGTGCCTTTGCAGGCCATTTCATGTATTTGTATTTAAATCATGAGACATTATTATTTTTGAAACTCAACAAGAAGAAAATCCAATTAACTCTTCTGTTATATTTTCCTAAAGATGTGTCCTTATCACAAACGAATAAATTCCAAAAAATAGAAATTAGAGCAGTTACTTATTTTTAAAAAATATGGAAACATTTTATATGGAATCAGAGCCCACCTATCTCAAAAAACAAAATTGATATGCAATAAATATCGACAGATTTTATTATTTCTTACTCTAAAAATAACAAACGTTTGTTTTGAAAGTCCTTTGTGAAAGATAAACCAATATATAAATTTGGTAAAATTTACCTTCTGATAGTCTGGAAGCTTTTTCCAAGAAGGATCTAATGGAGAGTGTTAAGCCTGATAGAAACAATAGATCCGAGAATAGATCTCTTTACACACACATATCAACTGGGAGCATAAAAATGTTAAAGTGACGGCCTAAATCCTTGATTAGCGGCATTAATTTCATTAGTGTAATACATTTACATTTAAATAAAACGCGCTAAGAGAAATTAACTGTAGTTTTATTAGTAAAGTAGTAACATTAAAATTTTCCATAAAAACGACCTTATCTCAAACAACTTATTTTCAGTGATTTAAGTTATCGATTCAGGTTTTATTTTTGTTTTAATAAATTAAAAATATTCTTTATCGTTAATAACAAATTAATAGATGAGAAATACGTTTTTTATATTTTTAATGTTATTTACAGAAAATAGCTAGGTATGTATTTGTTTTTAAATAATTTGACAATTTATGAAAAAAGGGATTAAAAGTGGAATGGCCAGCGGCGAGGTGGTCAATACAATGTAGCATATATTTCTATTATAACATAACTAAAACACCTACATCTTTTAATCATAAGGGCACAAGTTAAAAACCATTTTAATATTTAGAATGAAGTTATATTAACTTATTAAAGAGACGAGGTCTTAAAGTAATAGCTGGTACAGCATGTTTTTTAAACATTTCCTAGCTCCTGCTAGAACCCAGACAGCACAAGTCAATCCATCAGAGTCCATTGATGGACATATCGGTTATCCAAAGGACGTCCAGCATTTTACCGAAAGACATTCAATGGACATCCATTGGACTATACAAATGTCCCACTCCTGGATGTCCATTTGGACTCCATGAAAAGGCCATATATTGTATTGCTTTTGGACAATTTATGGACATCTGATGGATATCACCACCTATATTAATAAGAAATAAAATAATTGGACAAACTATGGACATTTTTTTATAGTCATAAATAATATAAAGTATGTATTGGTTTTATACGCACTCCTTCCTGTTGACCCTCTCAGCCATTTTCTTGAGGCTATTTTGCTTACTTTTTAAGCAGCACCATTGTCACTCAGCAGCAGCTAAAAAAGACATGACATTTTATACGAATATTGAATCTTAAATCAATTTTTTAATAAACGCTTCATCAGGCAAAACTGATAGTCACTTTCTATGAAATGTGCACTAAAAACGGTATTTATGGCAGTCACCGTTTCAGTCTTAGGATCTCTTCCTAAAGCCCTCATCAAAGCTGCATACCTATTAAAAGTTATTCTAAAAAAAAACATGACATATAACTATATAGTTTTCGGTTCTGGGTGCCTCAAAAGAAGACACTTAGCCGAAATTTTGGCTCAGATAGCTAAAACCCAACAGTCGCACCCCGAACCAGGACATATTACTATCTTTTAAAGTAAAAAATAACTAGTCATCCTTACCTGAAAATGGAGGCGTCTGACTTTTACACCACAACACCACACACTTTTTCCCATTGTTGCAAGAACCCGATGACTATTAGGTAGATATCAACCAGAAGCAGGTACTTAATGGTTATGAAGCTTATTTTAACACAAAAAGAACAAAGCACTAATCAAAAAGCAGCAATCAAATATAAATAGACCACACAATTAAAATTCAAATTAAAAACTATAACTGTAAAAGACAGATACTCTAAAAACGCAGACGATCGGAACCAAACAGAATAAATAACCGCAATAACCTTAAAATCACACTCAAAATTGCAAAAACTAGTACTGCAAAATTATGCGATTACATCAATAATGCGTATGCGTCGGAATGTCAAAAGTACAGTGTTTTCATGAAAATTTAGCTATGTTTTAAGTATTAAGTATTAAAGGATCATTACTAACACGTGTACCCAACGATATTGGCGTTCCTTTTAAATATACAGTTCTGTGTCTTTTCCTCACACCACTAGTATAAATGATTTGACATAACAAAACTAACAATAATTATAATTAATGTAGAGTAGGCTTGTGTAAAAACTGTAAAGAAATTCTAAAACTAAAAACAGCAATAAGTGTTTCATGAATTCTAAATAAAATAATTATTATATAAAAGTGCAAAAGAAAATGTAATTTATCTCCCTATTTTCTTTTGTAATTTCTTCAATTATTATGTTTTATTTCTATAAATAAACCAACTGGTAAGGTGCTACATTGTGATATATGATTTTATTTCTTGGAAAGTGTATTTTATGCACTTGCCAAATATATTATTTCATGAGATATTTATTTGTTTTTTTAAGAATCAATGTTTGAGTTTTGTGTATTTTAAATAAACATTTCTTTTTTTTAGTCTAATAATATTTTAGAAGAAAAAACTGAAATACATTTCTGAAGTATTACTATTTAATATTTCTAAAAGATTTCAAATTTTCATTTCAGAAATATTACTGTGAGATATTTACTGGACATTTTTACGTTTCAGGTATATTGCAAAAATGTTTCTGGAAAGTTTTGTAATATATGTATTTATACATTACAAATGTTTCAATGTAACATTTTTGAAATATTTCCGAAATGTGTTTGTGCTGTATAGGTATCAGCTGGTGAAATTCTGACGATATAAACTGAACCACCCTGTATACATCATGGTGTGACGTCATTAATTTTTAAGGTATATTAATAAATAGTAGGTATCACAACTTGCCTTATAGGTCTAGGATGAGGGATAAACCACCTGAAAAAATGTGTACCCCTTAATTCTACTTCCATAAATAATTCCAAAGAATTCCATTACAACTCTAAATATTACATGTATTTTCACTGGAATTCCACATATTTTCACGGAATTCCATTTAAACCCTTTAGAATTCCACATAAATCCACTAAGATTCCACGGAATTCCACGATTGCGCTGCTATACAATGTGTCAAGTTTAGATTGCACCGCCTCAATATTTTGTTTATACAAGGTGTTCGCTCGTTAAAGGTACCCAGCAAAACTGCA